GTCCCCCAGGGACGCCGACCGCGTGGCGGGCCTGCTTGAGGCCAACAACATCTACAACGTGAAGCTGCTGGTCAACAGGGTGCGCCCCGACATGATCCAGTCCAACGACATGATGAGCGTCAAGGACGTGCAGGTCTTGTGCTCGGCCGTCGCACTCAACACACACACACACACACACACACACACACACACACACACACACACACACGTGCAAGCATGATCTCGCATTGCACCTGGTGCGGCCGGCTTGACCAGCAGGTTCTCTGGCTTGATGTCCCGGTGCACGACGCCGTGCGAGTGGCACCACCGCACCGCGCGGACCAGCTGCCACACGTACCGCCGCACCAGCTCCGGAGCCAGCCCGCTGGGGGACGCCTCGAGCACCTGCACAGCAGATGAAGTTGTGTGTGGGATTACATACAGCAGCAAGTATCAAATGGCACCGTCTCAGCAGCCACCCAACTTGCTGGCTGCAGCTGATTTGACCTGTTGGAACCGCAACAGGCAGCTACTGCGATGGTGATTAGCCCGCGTGGATTTTCATCCTTGCGTCGGTGAGAGCTGTCAGCACCCACCTGCAGCAGTGTGTGCTCGATGTACTCAAACACCAGGTACTGCAAACGCAGGCGGGCGGGTGTGGATGTCAGCACTGCAGAGCCAGCAGCACTTGGCGCGAGAACGCTGCAGCAACAGAGAGGCATTAAGGGCGAGGCCGGACGCCTTTGGCAGCCCACGCCCGCCACAAATCAGCATCAGGCAGGGCCTTTTTTCACTCATACCGGTTTGCGCTCCCGCCAAGGATGCCGACCGAGCCTCTCGTTCAGGACAACCACGCAGCTGCCCAGCTTACTAAGCCGCCACCGTGACCTCAACATAAACATTTGACACGCCTTGTGTTGCGACCCCTGACGCGCCGCGGACCACCCCGTAGAAGGCAGGTGCAGCCGCGGGCAGTGCGATGCGGCCCGCATGCACGACCCACCAGTCGCTTCTTGCGCCGGAACGCCTCCTTCAAGTCGACAATGTTCTCCTGCCGCAGCATGCGCAGCATCTTGACCTCGCGCAGCGTCGTCTTGCGCACTATCTCATCGTCATCTGCGGCACGGACGCGCACAATGAGCAGTGGTTGGCACATGGTCATAGTGGCACCATGCAGCGGCGCGCGCGCCCGCGCGCACCCCTGGCGGCATGCCTTCAGTCTAAGCGCCTGATGCCTTGCATATGTAAGCAACTCACCCGACTCCTTGAACTTCTTGATAGCGACCTGCTCGCCAGTGGCGCTATTCACCGCCTTGAATACCATTCCGTAGGCACCGCTGCCGCAAGCGTCGATCACCTCGTACTTCTGCATTATATCTGATACAAATCAACGATCTTTGACTGCGGCTACGGCCTGCCACGAGTGATGCCAGCACCTAGGGGGTCGCGTTCAACGCTGAACGCCCTGTGAGCACACGCCATCTAGCTAAGACAAGATGTGAGTGATTTTATAGCTATGAAATGGGAAGTGAGGGCAAAGGTGGGTAGCCCGGGCACTGTGGGCCTTTGACCAGTCACTGCTGTTCCGTTGACTTTCTGGTGTGTGCAGCACGCCACCCGCGGCGGCGCAGCTCTGGCGGACAGTGTGCCCAACCAAGCCAACTATCTCAACACAAACCTGTTGCAACATGGCTGTGGCCGACTGCAGATCAAAAACAGTCACACAGACCCCTGAGCTGAGGACCGAACTAGCTGGTGTAGCCGCGAGCACCACAACACCTCTTGGATGTTGGGATTGTGGCTCAACACAAGATGCACTTTGATTGAAACGCGAAATGATGTTTGCAGATGCATCGTTTACATTATCATATATGAGGTCTGGGTCGATGCAGATCACTCACACCATCTCCCAGCAGAAACAAGGCCCTGGCCACCCAGCAGCGCAGCACAAGCGCGTGGCGCCTACCGCAAACTTCCAAGTGTGTGAGGCCCAGCGGCTTGCCATGAGGCGCTCAAACTTTCTTGCGGGAAAACGACAGACACTCAAGCAGCATCCAAGAGCATGGGATGCAAACACTAGGACTTGTTGCTGATGACTGCGACTGGGCGCCTGTGCCCAATTTGGCGTCCCAAGCTGGCTGGGCACTGCGCCCTTGACAAGAAGCCACGTAATGAACACTATCGCCTTACGTGGCTGTCAATGAGTGGCTTACACGCCTGCAATTTGACTTGAAAATTGCGCCAGATCATCAAACATAAGGTAATAGATGAGACATAGACATCGTAGCCCTGGATTGTGTTTTGCGACTTCGGTTATTTATCTTGCGTTTTGAGGCACATCCTTTTGGTTAGAAAATTCGGGACAGGATCTCGCGCATCACTCTTGAGCTGCTGTTCGGCGGCTTTGTGGCCCCGCGCGTGTCCCGTTCATTTCGATTATCAGTTCCAGTAACTGTGCATAGCAACCGCGTCTGCGTCTTTGCCAACATTCGCGTAGCTAGATCGATTCGACGCCCGAAATGGCCGCTGAAGCGGAGGCAGCCCCGATGGCCCTGGACGAACCTGAGCAGCCGGACCAGGAGAAGAAATCCGACGAGGCCACTCCAGCCCAGCCGAAGAAGGAGAAGAAGGCTCGCGAGGCAACAACTAAGGACAGCGGCAAGAAACCAGGACTCTATGACGCATCCCCAGTGCTCGAGGGCAAACGGGAGCGCAAGAAAGTGGATCGCTTGGAGGTGGTGGTGCCCGTGAAGAGCCCGGAGCCGACCGTGAAGCAGGTGCGGCGCAAAGCGGGCGCGCCACGACGCAGGGGTCGCTGCTGTGCTCTGCGGTGAGGGCACCCAGGCACCCCACAAGGCTGCCTGGGTAGCTCGCGCATCTCGCTGCTAGCCATGGCTATTCGCGCCGTACCGCCCGGCACTGCGGCGAATACATCACCCTCAAAGGACGGCGCCACGCATCCCCTGACGGCTGGCGGCCGCAGGGCAAGGGCCTGAAGCTCGGCGAAATCCCCAACGGTGCGTGGGGCCGCGGAGGGCGCGGGCCCCCAAAACGCTCCCCTCAGCCTGCCGCCAGCCCGGCTCACGCCAGCCGCAGAGCCGCAGCTCCGGCCCCATCCGGCCCCAGGCGCCCGCCGGCCCGTCCCGGGACGATGCGTGCGGCCGGCGCAGCGGACGTGCTGGGCCGCTCTCAATTGGGCACCCACCGCCCCCTTTCGCCCAACCCCCAATCCCATTGCGCAGTGCACTTCAAGCTCAACAAGCTGCGCGGCGGCGACGACCTGGTGGTGTCGCTGCACACGCTGCTCTTCAAGCGCAAGGGCGGGGTGAGCGCGCCGCATCAGGCGGCCGGCGCGGGGTCGACCGGACGGCCCGCAGCGCGCCGCCGCTGCCGCCCGGCTGCCTCCGCCCGCAGCAGCGACGGCAGCAGCGACGGCTGCTGACATGAGCCCGCCCTGTACGCAGCCAAGACCCCCTCTCCCGTGATCCCTCGCCCAATCCTGCGCCGCAGTCGCACGAGCGGAAGCGCAACATCTTCGGTTTTTCGGGGCTGGTGTATGACGGGGACGCGGCGGCCGAGCGCGCCAAGGTGCGCGCGGTCGCGGTTGGCGCATCACGCGCCGCCCGCACGGCGAGCGCGACTGAGGGCAGCGGCGGGGGCACGCCAGCGGTCGCGCGTCACGGCTGTCGGCCTTGTCAGTTGGCCGTGCGCGAGTGGGTTGCGGCTGGTCGTGCTGCCGCAGTTGCTGAGTGGTGTACGCAAGACCCTCACCCCGCACTGCACACCCTCCTGACTCTCTCACTTGGTTGCAACACACGACACCACACACACGCACGCGCGCGCACACACACACACACACACATACGCACACACACTCACACACACGCACGCATTGACGCACGCACGCATGCACACACTCAGCGATCCGCCCCCCGCCACCCCGCCCACGCCGCCCCCCAGGTGTCTGAGAAGCTGGCCAAGTGGACCATCCCCATGCTGCAGAACCTCATAGACACACTGGACCTGCCGCGACCCAGCGAGGTGCGCCGCGCTGCTTGGCCGCACACAGCACCGCCTGGCCCCCGCCGCCGCCCGCCCGGGCGCAAGCACGTACGCGGCCGGTTTGTGTGGGTCCGGGACAAGGGCAGACACGGGGACGACGGCCCCGCGTGCGAGCCGCTGATCGCGCCGGCCGTGGCGCCGTCGGGAGCGCGGCGCCGCGGCTGATCGCGCGACGCCCTGTGGCCACACCCTCCCCCCTCGCCCCCCTCATTCCCCCTCAGGGCAACAAGGACTCCAAGGTTGAGCGGCTGGTGGAGTTTTTGGAGAAGCCCAAGAAAGTCGGGGACAAGGACCTGGCGGCCGCGGTGAGGGGGACCAGATCACAGTCGCTGATGAAAACCCACTCAGCCGCGCGGCCGGGCTCCTGGAAGGGCAGCTCGCCGGGCAGCAGGGGAGGGCATCGGGGGCGCAGCCGCGTTCGCTCTCGGGCCAGTCGCGGGGCGCCTTGGAGCGGCGCGCGCTGGATGGGTGGTTGCGGAGGTGGCGAGGACGGATGGGCGCGGGACGCCCGCTTCGACGGCCCGTGCATGCAGGGCTGGGGTGTTGCAGGCCCCCGCGTCCCGCCCCTGCTTGGCAGCGCCGAGATGGCTTACGCGGCCCACTCTGCTGCTCTGCCATCATTGCACAGGCGAACAAAAAGAAAGAGGCAGCGGCGCGCAAGCGGGAGCGCGAGACCAAAAAGAAGGAGAAGGCCGCGGCCAAGGCCGCCAGGGGCAAGAAGAAGGCGGCGGCGGGCGGCAAGAAGAAGAAGGGCGAGGAAGAGAGCGAGGAGGAGGAGAGCGAGGAGGAGAGCGAGGAGGAGGAGCAGAGCGAGGTGGGGCGCTTTTTGTGTGTGTGTGTGTGTGTGTGTGTGTGTGTGTGCGTGTGCGCGTGTCCATGTATGCCTGTGAGTGCATGCGCATGTGCGTGTAATTGTGTGACTGTGTGTGCGCGCGTGTTCATGCATGTATTTGAGTGTGCGCGTGTGTGTGCGCGTGTGAGGATGTGGGTACAGTACAGTATCGCGGTGCAGGCCAGCCCCCCTCCCCTCCTCGAGGGCCTGGGCTAGCATGGGGCTTCGTCGGGGCGACGGGGAGGAGGGTAGCTCGCGGCTGGGCCACACCGCCAGCCTGCGCACTGGCCGCGGCCAGGGCGTGCAGCGTGCACGCCCGGGAGTTCCCACCACCTTCTCGCCCCGTTCCCGCGTGCTCCCCTACCTCTCCCACCTGCACCTTCTGTTTCGCCACAGGAGGAGGAGAAGAGTGAGGCCGAGGAGGGCAGCGGCGGCAAGGACGCGGCCGCCGACGAGGAGAGCGAGGAGGAGGAGGAGGAGGAGGAAGCGGAGGAGGAGGAGGACGAGCAGCCAAAGAAGCGGGCGCGGCGCGCGAGCGGCGCCAAGAAGCCCGCCCCTGCCAAGAAGCCGGCTGCCAAGACGGCCGCCGCCAAGCGGGGCGGCAAGAAGGCCGCGGCGGCGGCCGCAGGTGAAGAGGAGGAGGACGGGGCCGGCGGCGAGGGCGAGGCGATGGAGGAGGACGCGGCGGCGGCGGAGGCGGCGGCAGCTACCGAGAAGCCGGCGGCCAGGGGCGCCAAGGGGAAGAAGGGCGGCGCGGCGGACGCGGCGGCGGCGGCGGGGGCGGCGGAGGGCAAGGCGCTGCCAAGCGATGAGGAGGTGGAGGCGGCAGTGCAGGAGTTGATGCGCCAGGTCAGCGCGTGCCGCCGGT